TCCATTTTCAATCTAATGGGCCAAGTAATAGTTACCATTTCAATTAGGATCCCTTTGCGAGTTAATGTGAATCTTTGCCTTGCAAAAACACAAGGAAAACACATGTGGAAATTCTCATTTTCCAGCAGACAGACCACCCTCTAATATGCTGCCTTCCCAGTGATGACAGTTTGCCATCAAATAAGTAACAAATAATTTATTTGAAAGCAGGAGTTTTCTATTTTATTAATGATTAATAGATACTTGCCAGATTAAGGATGTTGGTCATAAATATCTCTAGAAATAAAGCCTTTATATTTGGTGTTGAAATTAAAATTGGGGGTAATATTAATCTTTACCTAGCCATTCAAACACATATCAGTTTTTGTAAATGTACTGTGTATGTGTGTGGCTGCATATATACTGTATATATATTTGATCATTTGGATTAGGAGAAAGAAATAGCAAAAGTTTCTGCTTGCAACATAAAGAAAATTTCAAATACTTTTTGGTATTTTGAATACTCTTTTAAGCACATGCCTTTGTTTACATCTAGTGTCTAGACAGAAGTATCCCAAGTGGACTTTCACGCTGGGTCGTGTTTTCCAGACTTAAAGGAGTAATCTCTCTCTAAATTATCGGGGTACATGTTATTCACTTTAGGATTGTGCATAACTTAATCTTCAAACATTTGCCCAAAACTGCTAGTTTTATACACATCAGCTTAAAAACAAGAGATAGCAAAAATCACATCAACGGCCTTTGTTATTGACTACTCTAAAACATTTCTTTTCGGTTGGAGAAAAAAATTAAAACTATGGGGCATAAAGGACTTTGGAGTTAGACATTTTTAAGGACTTGTATTTTCTTTCTGCTTCTGACCAACTGAAGTTATTATAAATAGGAATCAAATGTGCAAATCTAAATTTCTAGATAAAAATCCAGATGACTTTGGAAATTCTTTTACAAAATTCTCCCGAGCTGAGAGTTCCTAGATATTATTGTTTGTTTTTGCAGTTTGCCATGTGTCTGGGTGAGGGCAGCTCCCCAATCATTGTCTGTGGATTTTTTTGTAGAGACAGAGTCTCAGTTTATCGCCCTTGGTAGAGTGCCGCGGCGTCATACAGCTCACAGCAACCTCTAGCTCTTAGGCTTAGGCGATTCTCTTGCCTCAGGCTCCCAAGTAGCTGGGACCACAGGCGCCTGCCACAACACCTGGCCATTTTCTTGTTTCCATTTGGCCTGGGTGGGTTTGAACCCACCACCTCAGTATATGGGGCTGGCACCCTACTCACTGAGCCACATTGGTTATATGGCTCAGTCATCTCCGGTGTTCCACATGAGCTGTAGGCACATTTTGATCTTTGTATTTATTGCATTACATTACTGTCTGATATTTTAATATTGGCAAATATGATTTTGCACATTGTCTTTTTATAATCCTCTTGTTTTTATAGAGCAATGGAAGATCAAGCTTGAAGAGAAGTAGTTGCCTTTATCATGTAGTCAAAGATATTTCTTTTTCTTTTTCTTTTTTTTTTTTTGACAGAGCCTCAAGCTAACCCCCTGGGTGGAGTGCTATGGCATCACAGCTCACAGCAACCTCCAACTCCTGGGCTCAAGGGAGTCTCCTGCCTCTGCCTCCCAAGTAGCTGGGACCACAGGCGCCTGCCACAATGCCTGGCTATTTTTTTGGTTGCAGCCGTCATTGTTGTATTGGTGGCCTGGGCTGGATTCAAACCCGCCACCTTAGGTGTATGTGGCTGGCGCCTTAGCAACTTGAGCCACAGGCGCCAAGCCAAATATTTCTTCTTTATGAGACTCTGGTGTTGCATCCTGTTCCATCATTCTCTATTACTACTTATTTTAAATATCTTCCCTATCACTTTGAAAAACTGAAATGTCCAGTCTCTATTTGTAAATACGCCAAAAGTACTACCCCCTCTAAATATGGGGAGTAATTACTATAAATTGTTAGTATATTGTAAATTACTTAATGACTACAAAGAGTTTTTCATGTTAAGATGCATCTAAAACAATATCTCAATTCCTTTCAAGATACATCTAATATGAAATTAGCACACTGTACCCCATAAATGCATTAATGTATACATGATCTATGTGTTTATGATTTAATAAAAAGTAAAGTTTGAAAAAGAAATTTTCCATGTGCCTTATATATCTCCTTAATAGAAGTTTTTTGTTATTTCATATGTAATCATTTTAAGATCTTTTTGAAATAAATAATGCAAATGAATTAAAATAAGATGTTCTCTTGATTTCTGAAGAAGCATTTTTTGATAGTCTTAGAAGCTGCTGATATACAAGAGTTCTTTCCAAATATTCAAAGGCAGGTGAAAAAATGAAGTCTAGAAACTAGAAATAAAGACTCAAACTTTTATTGAGAGCAAGTCAGACACAGCAGTTCTTTATTTAAATTGCAGATAGATAGATAGATAGATAGATAGATAGATAGATAGATAGAGATAAATAGGTAGAAAAAGAAAAATTTTGGCAAAATCTGTGTTTGCAAATGAAGGATTATATGAAAGGTAAATTTTATATTGGCAGAAAGTAGAGCTATTATTAATTCCTGTTCAACCAGCAACAAATGAAAACAAAATGTCATGTGACAAATATCAGCATTTATGGAATAAATTATTTCTCCTTCCTACCAGGTACCAGAATCCTCACCACTCCTGAACCCCGAATCACAAAACTTAGACAAACCTTCCTATGTAGTTACCAGTTTTTGTTCTTAATCATGTTCCATGTAAGTTTCAACTATGTTAACTATCCCCCATGCAATCTGAATCAGACCCTTGTCTTCCCTAGGTTATGAAGACTCCAATGATCAACCTTCACTATCATGGTACTTAAAGTCATTTAACTCCGTGGCCTTGGTGAAAGACTGCAGTATAGGCCAGCAGACACCAAAGCCAAAGATTAGTTTCTGTGCTCTTTTGGAACTGCATTGCTTCATCCATGAACATAAAGCATTTACCCATTGAACATACCCTGAAATAGTTTCTGTTGACAAAAACTTCCATAGTTAGTTAATTGTCTGGTGAAGGCACAAAATTCAATAGACCAGAGTTACTACCTATGTTAGAGCCCTGTAAGCGCCAGTTGCTTTACCATGTTACATAGCCACGGGCCACTCACCCCACTCAGCTTCTACAGGAATTCATCTCCTTTGTTGAAATAACTCTTTTGAAGGTGGGTTATCAATATGGTCCTATTACATGACAGATAACTCAATACTGTGCTTTGAAGTAGAAAATTGTAGCAGTCATCAGTAATCCAGAAAACAAAATATGTTGTCCAACTAGGGAGATTCAGAAAAGCTAAATTAAACAGGAAACTTTCCTGGCTCCTCAATCTTCTACCTAACTTTATCAATAAAGACCTGCTTTCCCTCACTTTCTTCTGAAAACTCACACTGTCATGAGCGAAATCTATAGGTTCTATGAATTCAGGGTAACTGAACTCTTACGTGGTCAGGATATAAAGTATTTTTTTTTTTTGAAAGAATGAAAGGAATACTTCCATCCTGAATTCAAAATTGAGTCCTGTAAACACCAAATAATAGTACATGATACTATGGAAATATATTATATGACCAGGAAGAATTAAAGAAGCTGTTATTAAAATGTGTGGGATTTGTTACACATAAATAAGCAATAATGTAAGAAGGACTAAGCCAGGATTTTTCACAAAATGAAAAAGAAGTAAACAAAGGGTTGAATAGTACAATGAAGACTGTCTTACATTCAGACAATAAGGAATTGTCTTTTTATTTGCAACAGCAAAAAAAAAAAAAAATCTTTCAGAAAGTTTAGGGTAATATATACGGAAGCATGAAATGAAAAATTGTGGAACAAACTATCTAAGAATATAAATATAGACTCTCTTTTCATAAATATTCAATACATTATTTGACACATTGGTTTGAGTGAAACTCCACAAGTACAATTTTAAGCATCTTGATTTGGGCTGAGGTCCAGTAAATTATATATTCCCAACAACTATCAGAGCTTTCTCACTAAAAATACATGCTCACGCTCTACTTTGAAAATATTCTAAGATAATTATTTCCATTTTCATAGTAACTAGTACAGTTATGACTAGCGTTGTCTCAGGTTTCTAAGGAAAGAAAATTATTCTGAGATACTGTTAATAAGAGCAAGTGCGGTAATAAAGAGGGGCATTTTCTTAAAATTGTGCTAACGCTGTCATTTTTATTTTTAATGACTTTTACTGTGCTAGACACGATTTTATTTTCAGTCACAGAAATAAAACTATCCAATGTAACTCTTTAGTCTATCGCCCACCCATCTTCGAGCCCCTCCTTGTATCAACCTCACAATGGGTTTAATTCAGTTTGAAAGCATAAAGCCAACATTTAGCAAACAGAATTCTCCTGACTGACAATTACTCAGCCCCTCTGGGGAGGAGATTCAGTGAGTGGTAGGACCCAGGAAGGAGACCCAGTGAATTTTCACTCGGTAGATGCCAAGGAAAAGCACTTAAAATATGTTTTGGTAATAACAAGAAAGGTAAAGAATTTTGGGATTTTACAGCCAGAGCCTGTACTACCATGTTTAAAAGTAAGAGAAGTTGAATTCCAATCTTTTTATCACCCCAATACATAAGAAGAAATACACCAAAAGAAACAGAGCCATTTCACACGGTCATCGTTTTCACTTCATGACACCCTTCCCAGCCAAATCACGCCCGATTACCCAGCAAGGCTGGCTCTTTGCTGCCTATCACACCTGCTATGTTAGTGAAGTTTTTAAAAGCAAATGCCCAAGAATGAAACTAATGCTTTTGGATTTGAGGTTACCAGCCAGAATTTTGTCTAGGGTTATTTCCTCCTTATTCTATAGTAAAAAAGGAACTAAGCTTACACACCTTTCAAAGGGGGTAACTCCAATAAAGCATAAGAACATGCATATCAGGATGACAGAATTAGCTTTTGCTTTAGTGGGAGCGAGAACTTCTCAGTTCCAGTTAGTTTATAAATGCATCATGGACTCAAATTCATCAATTCTTTGCTTGGTGTTCCCCTTCCGGATTTTCCGGTAGGAAATTGTATTGTATCGTGCATAAGCATTCCTGGAGATATCACTCTTCTTCCCTAGGCTTGGCTGCTCATCAGGTGTCAGCTGGGGACTGGCGCTGCTCAGGGGGGAGTCCTCACTTGCCTCTTCTTCCTCTTGAAATGGAGAACCCTCTTCATGTATTTTCTTAAATTCTGTCACTCGAACTTCATCTTCTTCATCGTCGTCGTCGTCGTCATTATCCATTTCTTTATCCCTAACCTCCTGCTCCTCATCATGTTTAGAATGCAACATGCCAACTTGGCCAGGTTTCCGAAATCCCAACCATTCAATTTCAGCTGCCCGGTAAGCTTCATTCTTCCTACCTGCGTCTTCTCTCTCTTCTACGGGTTGTTTGCCAATCCTTTCCCTCTGTCTACTTGTCTCCTGGTTGCTACTGCTCAGAGGAATCTTCTCCCACTGACGCCCTGTAGCAAAACCAATTGGTTGAGATGGAGGTTCAAAAATACCCAGCTGTTATTCTCCAAATTATTTTTCTTGACAATACTTCCTAATATATCTTTAATGGATTATGATTTTGTGGGTTACACAACCAAAAGGGCCACACAGTCAAATTAGTTTGGAAAACACTGCATTACATGCAGTTAAATAAGCTTCTTCAGAACTTATCCAAGACTTTATAATGCTAATGATAGTGGAGAGCTCCAGAAAAGCAACCCAGCCCCACGTGACTAAGGAAGGCTGTTGTTCCAGAGTACTGTATTTAGTGAGACCGGCATTCCCTGAGACACACCTTCCAAAATCCTGTCACAACTGGATATATGAATATGTAAAATAAAATGTTTGAACTTTTCTCATACATACATAGACACACAGACCCACAGACACACACACACACCTTAAGCAAAATTAGAAAAATATTTCAAGAGAAAGAAAGCTTTCTTCTAATAGTAAAAATGATGACTGCCCATGTCTGCTCACACTCACAGTCGCACACTAGATATTTGACGCCATGTTTCTCAGAGTCGTCCTAAACTTATAAGCAAGTATAACAGGAAGCACAGGGGCCCACAGATGGTCAGAACTCATGTGCTGGCCTAACATGCCCCGAGCCCACCAAAACAAACACAATGTGGACAAATATCTGGCATTGATTTCTAGAAAGCCACGGTTTAAAAATCATGCTATGGTTCTATCTACGTAATGCTCAATTCGCCTTTTATTTACTAGATATGTTCCTGATGACAACTAATTGACCCATGTTATTTGGTACTGTGGAGTGACTTTTAAAAGGTTTAATTCACTAGAATCATCACTTTTCAAACAGCCAGGATTTACTGAGCATGCTAAGAACTAATCATAAGGGATAAGAGGTTGTTCTCTGAGCTTTCACAACTTAAGGGCTTCTGTGGATGTCTCAGTCTGTAATGTGCATGACTCAGAAATGTTGTCTGGGATATGTCCCTTGGCAGGCCTCGGTTCATCATTTTCTTTTGACACCAGAAGAATCTATAAATAAGGTGAGAGGCAATGTTCCTGTTTGTTCTTCCTCCCCACAATGTTCTATGCTCTCTGGAAGATGTTCACAACTCCATTTTCTTCCAAGGGTTTCTCTTTCCCTTCTCTCTTTCTTTTGTTTGTTTGTTTGTTTATTTTATTTTGTTTTCTCACTTTAGGGAATAGAGAAATAGATTGCAACTTACAGGCAGGGATAGAAGTAAAGATGGTTTATCACCCCTAACTAGTTATAGGTGTGTGTACAACTGCCATCCAACTGGTTAGTAGCCAGTGTTCTTTACATTACACATAAATATACATTATAATGTATATTTTATAACGTTAAGCTGTGTTTTATTTTCCACAAAAATAAAAGAAACTAATAATTTTGTCCATATTTACGACTCAGGCAACAGAGTGCCCTACATGAAATGACTCCTTGAATTTAAATTATAGTTTTCCCTCGGTATTTTTAGCATCTTTGAATTTTTCAATCCAGGAGCATTGTCTTTGAAGATCTTATAGCTATTAGCCATTGTGATAATAAAGACACCAACAGCTGTGCCTGTCTACAATGGAGGAAGCACTTACTCTCCATCAAACATGAACGGATTCACTCAGGGAAAATTTAACCAGTGAGACCATCTAGTTTACAAATATAGACTGCTTTCATTCTGCATTTGATCAAAATGACAGACACTAGAAAACTGTTGTCTGCCATGGATCGCCTGATCAGAAATCTGAAAGAGACTCTGAATGAAAAATTAAGATCCCTGTCTCTAAGAGCTTGTTATACTATAAGCAGAAAGATGAAGGGAAGGAGGTTATTTAGTTCATATTGTGGAATGTTAAGTCTTATAAGTTATCTCTAATAATTCAATAGCTTAACAAGAAAAACTGCCTGCTACATATCTCTTTAAGTGCCTTTACACTGGTCAGCAGACACAGTCTAGAAGTATCCATGCAAAGATAGCAAATAGAAGAAATAGCCAATCATATCCATGTCTTCCTCAGTATCTATTTTATGTGATGTTCTCATATTTTGACAAATAATATCCTCAGTATTTTCCCTATTAAAGTCCTAAGAAGGCTACACTGGTTAGGTCTAGCAAGCTGACTTCAATTTAGATAGGATGTTTAAGGCTATGAAAGATGAGGAAATGAATTATTAATTAATAGATTTTTAATTCTGCACTTTATTTGGAAACTGCTTAAAGATACATGTCTTCTTAGAAGAAAAGTCTAAAGGATTTAGTTTCTCTTAGTCTGAGTTTATTTGACATTACTTAATATAGTCATTTCCATGTTCTTTTTATTCTCCAATTTTCTTAAAGAACACAATCAAAATTAACTTTATCACCCAGAGAGCTTTCTTTGACAAGAAATAATTAACAATTTTGCACTTACATCAGAGGCCTACAGTTTTCCTGTAAAGTAAATCAATTTATGAGATCACTTTAAACTGTATGCCAATTGTGGACTTTTAGGATAAATCTATGTTTGAAACATTTACATCTCACAAGGTGCCTCATACAGATTTGGAGACACCAAATCAAAACGGAAGGTTGTTTTAGTGGACTAACTTACTAAGAGGCAGATACCACATTGGAATGCCAATCAGCTACGGCAATCCGTGTAGTCTCAGTCCTGAATTATCGGAAAGGCTTTATAAGGTGGAACCCACAGATAAGTCAAGACTCTCTTATCTGCCTGCAGCAGCTTTGAAATTTGAAGTCATTCCCTGGATTGCTTTTTCAATGCCACACTCACACTACATCTCATGCAAAAACTGTCACCCGTATTCAATCAAAGCATTTTATGTACAAAACTGTAGCTCCCATTACCTTCTCTGGATGCCATTTCATCAGCACTTGTTTCTTGGAGAGAAAGATCTGTGACAGCCTTATGAACAATAAAGAGCTTCTCTTCTGTATTTTCTGAAGAAAATACACAAGATTAGTATTTTAACATTTGAAATATACATAGATAGTTCAAAGGTTAATATAGTATCAATTTAGACTCCAGGTAGATTTCCCTAATTTTACATATGATCACTAAAAATTACTCCTTGATTCTTTAGATTCATTCCTTACTGATTCTATTTATTTATTTAAGGATTAATTTATTGACTGATAATCTCTCCTTTATAGAGCTATAAATTCAGACATCTTCAGGTATATTTAGAAGGAAATCCTAAAATTCTTAATTCTTTTGTTCAAACAATGGTGGGGCTGTTCGTTATAATTAACAGTAATTAACAGGTAGCCAACACTTAGCAATCATTCTGCCAACCCAACAAACATAAGTACTATTATTCTGCCTTCTTCTAGTGTAAAAACTCAGGCTTAAGGAGACAACAAAGGCTGCCCAGGGTCACAGATGTATCAAACAGACAAGACTGGCTTTGACAGGGCAGAGATTGGGCCCATATGCTATGCAGCCCCATTAGAATAAGGGCCTTATACATTTTTTGTGTGCCTAGCTCGTTCCTAAAATAACAATTTATTCCACCACCTCCCAGAAAACATCCCAGAGTGAGTTTATAGGTCAAAACAAGAAAATTCAGAAAACGGAAAATATTTTACCTTTTAGACTCTTCTCATCCCTGGACCAGTTGAGCAGCATGTGCCCTTGTAATTTTCCTCCTTCCTTCTGATTTCCTTCTGTAGGTAAATCTTCAAGACTGGATTCCACCCTGTATTGTGGTGGTATGCCCTTCCCATCAGTCAATTCCTCATTGATTTTAGTGATTGGCTGTTGACCATTTTCAGGTGGTTTATCCCCGTTACACTCAACCTGACTAAATGTTGCCGGAACATCTGTCATGATGAACAGTTGAGTCCGATCTGGAGGGAGCTCTAGAGAAACCAAGTGAGCAGATCTTGATGAGGCAACTTCTCTTGTGTTCAAGTCCTATAGTTCTAATTCCTACTCTAAGAGTCCAGATTATTCACTTTGGAACATAATAACAAGATTCCCTTGCTAAAGGTGTCCAGACAGAGCTTGGAGCAAAGGCAATAGGATTTGTCAGATTTGACAGTAGCCCAAGAGCAAGAGTCCAACCAATCCCTGCCTTCTTTGCTGCTTAGCAGTCCCACTGCAGAATTAAAGGCACCCTTTTGATTTACATAAACAAACAATCTGAGGCAATCAGGCTTTTGTGTTGGCCTGTAGAGAGGGACTTTCAGCTTGTCAATCCCCCTCTGGGAATAGAGATTTTTGTCCCTTTTCATAATGGCCCATTGTAATTTTCCTTGTAACAGGAGCCACAATTGTTCCACAGCTTTAATCCAGAGAGAATGACCACCTTGAGGCATATTAGCTCTGTGTAACCAGCTTAACATTTCCAAACAGATTTTGTTCAAGTAAAACCTCAGCTATTTTGTAAGGGACAATGACATCGTTTCTTATTTATTAAAGAATAAAAACAGCTTATCAAAAACCTATAAACAGGACAAGTTTATTCTAAAGGTTCTGACAGCAGATTTCATGGTGTGTTTCAGGAGGCAAGCAAAGGAACCTAAAAACACAGACAAATCCTATGGACTAATACCAAAAATTTTCCAAGTTTGGAGTAATTTATTTAGTCTATAGCTTCTTATACTCTAGATTATTGGTGTCTACTGAAGCCCAGCAGATATCTTAAAATCTAAATATTCTTTTCTCTATGAATTTTTCTCTTCTCCCAATAGAATTATTCTCTATGTTTCACATTGATATTACAATGTGATATACAGGTAAAATACCGAGCACCAGCTCAGCCTTTCCTAGGGGGAAGCAGCCAGTGAAGAAACACACTTGACACTGACCACTTTTTTCTTTTTAAATAAAGACACTAATTCTTTTTTCTTCTGTGGATCCCACGTAGTATAGGATGGTCCCAGAGCCTTTGACCTGCCTGCTCTTTCTGTTTGGAATGCTCTTCTCTTCCTTAAGGCCTTACCCAGCTCCACTAACTTCTCAGTTTTTATACCAAAATATTTCTTTAATGATAATTTCCTACACCCACAGGATTAGGATGGGACTGTTACACAGTATATTTGCTTTTCAGAGTACTCTTCACAGTGGAATTGAGTAGTTGCACAATTATAAGTGTAATATCTGTTTCACCCACTAGAATCTAGGCTTCATCTGGCCAGGGGCCATTTCAAATTGCTTATCTGTGTCTGCAGTATGTAGCATCTGCATTAAGCTAGGTAGTACCTAAGTAAGTAAGTAAGTAAGTAAATGTGTGTGCATGTATTTAAATAAATTTTATTCCCAGGAGAATGCATTTTGGTTCTTTTCTAAAGGGAAGAAGGGCTGGAGAGTAATTATAAAATTACCTTGAAAACTTTATCTAAGGTTAAGCCCATTGGAGTCTACAACAGGTACAAAACATACCCTCAGGTAGAACCCCTTCTCCTATGACCTTGGAAGACATTTCTAACATATCCCAGAACGCCCTCCCTCAATATCCTCAGTTCTTCTCTACCTAGTACACTAATTATTTGTTGTTGGTTTGTTTGTTTTTAATTTCTTTAACAAACACTCATATAGCTCATAATACATGCACGTATTCTTCTAATTGTATCACAAATAGTAACACATTTAATCTTGATAACAGCTCTGTGAGGTAGGTTCTATTATTATCCCCATTTTATGGACTAGAAAAAATAAGCACCGAGAGATTAAGGAATTTGGTCAAGGTCACGCAGCTAGTAAGCCTACAGATAAAAGTTGGCTTTATAGATGAAGCTAAGCGGCTTCCCTGGCCTGTGTGCAAATGTTACCTGGAGCCAGAGCTCCCACAGGGATCTAGAATTAATCACTTTGGCAATAAAGATTATTGTGGCCATGAGAGGGCAGCAGAGGGCCTGAGGCAGCCTCAAGGCCTTCCCTTGAGACAGACTACAGCTGTTGAGCCCAGGGTTGGGAGGAGGCTGTCCCAAGAAGTTCAACTGGTAAGCCTACTGATGAGAAAATATTGAATGAAGTCAGATGGGAGAAGGCAGAAACTAAGACCAAAGCTTGGGGACAAGCGGGAGCATACTATATTGTAAGATCCTTAAGGGCAGAAAGTGACACTTATGCCAAGCAATACACAAACAGAAATACAGAAATGTTCACATCATCTTCAAGGTCCCCAAACCTCAATTCAGGGACACAGAAAAGTTAAAGGAGTTCAGGGTCATTGTTTCTACAGCTCCCAGGTTTCTATTACTTACAGCAACCTGCACCTGATACATATCTACAGATTAGTTTGTATGGGATATTATTTCTTTATTTTTGTATTGCCCTCTTTTTTAAAATTTCAAAATATTAAGAGGGGGCAGTGCCTGTGGCTCAAAGGAGTAGGGCGCTGGCTCCATATGCCAGAGGTGGCAGGTTCAAACCCAGCCCTGGCCAAAAACTGCAAAAAAACAAATATATATTAGGAGTTACAAATGTTTTTATTACATGAATAAATTTTATAAAGGAAGGCAAGAAAGCATAAGTAGGGACTTTTAATGTGCCCATCACTGGTGAAGTATTCATGGTACCTATTTGTTAGCCCCTTTGTTCCTCCTCCTTCCTCAGTTCTTGACTTCCGATGACCTTTGCATCTCTTTGTGCCTGTATGTGTCCATTGATAAGCTTCCAATTATTAGAGAACACATGTGGTGTTTCCTCTTCCATTCCTGAAAAATGGTCCATTCAGGTTGCTGCAAAAGATGTTATGGCATTCCTTTTTATGAGTGAGTATTATTCCATGGTATATACAATATATACCACATTTTGTTAATCCATTCAAGAGTTCATGGGCACTTAGGTTGATTTCACATCTTTGAGAATGTGAATTGTGCTGCAATAAGCATTCAAGTTCAGGTGTCTTTTTGATAAAATGACTTCATTTCCTGGGGATAGATATCCAGAACTGGGATTGCTGAGTTGAATGTAAGTCTACATTTATTTCTTGGAGGAATCTCCATACTCTTTTCTATAGAAGTTGTAATAATTTGCAGTCCCACCAACAGTGTATAAAGCACTCTTTCCTCTCTGCATCCACCTATAAGAATCTAGTTTTTTCTTTTTCTTTTTCTTTCTTTTTTTTTTTTTTTTTTTTTTACTTTTTAATGATTACCATTTTGGCAGGGGTAAGGTGATATCTCGTTGTGTTTTTAATTGCATATTCCTGATGATTCATGATGCTGAGCACTATTTACATGTTTGTGTACTAGTTGTCTTTCTTCTTTTGAAAACTTCAGTCATGTCTTTTGCCTACTTTTAAATGGGTGGGGTCTGTCAGCCTTGGCTAATCGGCATGCTCAATGACATAAGAGTGCATTTTTATGCTGCCCTACAGAATAATGGAGGTCAAGTAAATGGTTTATAAGACATATTATTTGTCCTACAAGTACATGGTAACACAAGAAACATTACCAGTCTATCTAACTATTCAATAAAATACAGGGTATTTTGTCCAAAAAAATATTAAGTCACTTCCTATTGTAATAACCTATGACTTACAAAGTACACTGGAATTTGTACTAATGATCTTTAATTCAAATACTATCACATAATGTTTACTGTGTGAAATATGAATTTTTTAAGCTCAATATACTAGAATATTTGGTTTTTCCTATGTTATTGTGCTTAATGGTAATTGATGTCATATAAATGTAATCATTATCAAATCAATAGCAAAGTATAATAATGAAAGGATCTTCACATGAGAATGTAAAGTATCAAAATAAAATTATGTAAAAATTCCCATTCTGCTTGTCAAATGCCAAGTGTTGAACTATTAAGGCTATCTTAGGCCCAGAAACAGATTTGGAGTAATATAAAATCTCGATCTTTAGTAATATGTGATAAGCCAAGCCACAGGTTAATGTTATGGGTAAGAGATGACCATTGAGCACTGAATTCAAACAAGAAATAAATTTAACAGATAAGTTTCTGATCCTGGCAGCTTAGAGATAATCCTTATATAAACAGATATTTATGTAGTTGGATAGGGGTATTATTTCAATCAAGGTTGAAAGGTAGAACCACTAAAAGATCAGCTGATCTATCTATCTATCGATCTATCTATCTATCTATCTATCTACTCTATCATCTATCTGTCTCTACTATCTATCTCTCTGAAGAGATGTGACCTCACATAACTATCTAGGCCAGTTTAATCTATCTTTCTGTCTAATGTCTCCTTGGATGCTGGACTTTGAAGTGTACAGTGCAGGAAGTTGAGAAGGGAAATTGGGTGTAACATGGGAGAACAAAAACAAGCTGGATTCACAAGCTCAAGCTAGAACACACAGGACATACTGAAACCCACATCAGCTCTCACTGCGTCTGCCCCTAGTGATGTGAGTGTCCTCCAGAAGAAGTTGGTCTCTTTTGTCATGGTCTGGGAATTACAGAAGCTGATGGAGGATGCAGGGGACAGGGAGAAGTTGCAGGCCTAGCTGCTGCCCCAGGCATTAGATGAGCCAGCCAGTCAGCAGTGGTGCATGTGAGCTACAAAACAGCTACTACCCCACTTCTGCCCTGCACGGCTCTCAACAATGTCTCCCGCGCAAAAAAACCTTTCTTTTTCTGAAAATATACAAGAAAGTAAATTCTAAGAAATATGGTATAGCCCAATCAGGTTGACACATAACAAAGTCACAAATCCTACCAATAACCTATAGAATCTTCTACAAGGAATAAAGTCATGCCTCTGAGAATGTGCAGTCCTGAACAACAGAGGAGACAGGTTCACTGAGGGGATTAACATTCCAAATTGAAGGGTCACCCCCCCCCAAAGTGAATTGTTACAGAAATATAGACTATCACAACATAATAAATCAATCTATGTCCAAATGTTTCACTTTAAAAACCCCCAATAATCTCCTGCCGCCTAGTACACATTAGATGAAGCTGATTGGCCTATGCTGTTAGTACCTTACAGTTATTTTTATGCCTATGTGGAACAACAGCTGCCATT